CTCGAGCCCCGATGCGCTGCAAAGCTGCGTTTGAAAGCCACGGGAAGCTGAAGTGAGGGAAATAACTGCCTAAGAAGAGAGAGATGGAGATTTCTAACCTAATTCTTTTGCTAATGTGAACGGTTTCAATATTCAAAGTGCCTAAATCCGCCCGTAAAGAAGATGCCTCGGTATTCATCCTTCCCCACCCCTCCCCTTTCTCCTGCGGGCGGTGGGGAGGGGGTAGTGGGAGTGCTTGCCTGACTTCTCTGCGGACCCTCGGAGATGAGGGCCGGGGCGTTGAGAGGGAGCGAGGAAAAGAGGAAGAGGTTTTCTCCAAGATCGCGGTAATAATAGCACTAATCACCGCTCCTGAAATAAATATGATAAAAATCAAGTGCTTAGGTTAAAGTTGATCAAAATTGTTCAAGCGTGACCAATGAGCTGAAATCCTGGATAATGACTGCGCGCCCTGGCAATCCCCCTCTCCCCCTCGCCCACTCGGGCTCGCAGCTCTGCGCAGCCCCCGAGCTCCTGTCTCCCACGTAACCCCTTCCTCAAAACTTTCTTGCAGATGATCCAAGCAATACAAGTACTAAGGTTTCACCTTTTGGAATTAGAAAAGGTAAGAGCCACGGAGGTGGGCGGGGGGCAAGCCATTCCCTCCCTGTGTGTCCGTACACCTTCCACATCCCCTTCCCCCCTCCCGACTCTTTGGGATGCCTTGTAAACATGGCCAGAGGAGATAGGGGAAACGCAGTGTGATACTGTAACCTGTGCCATCAGAGCATGTGACACCCGACAGCCATGCCCAGCCCAGCCCGGCATTATTTTTTTTTTTTTCAGGGTAATTTCAACCGAGTCATTAAATAGATATGTATTATTAAACCCCTTCCATCCTTCTTACCCCTTCCCTCAGCAGAAGTTCCTTTCCTGAGTCGGAAATAATATGTTTAACAAAAAGAGAAATGAAAGCACCCCTGCCTTTCTCCGGCTCTGGCAGGCATATTAACCCCAAGCAAGCACTAAATGTTTGGAAGAGGCAGGGGGCCCCTGCGCGGCGTGGGGAGGGGGCTGTGCCCTGGGACGAGAACGGCTCTTCCCACAGCCTCAAGCGAGTAGCTTCGTTTTACTGCTGCCGGCCACACAGACCCCTTTTTTTTTTTTCAGCCCCGGTTTAAACCGATCCCGTCCCGAGTGACTAGTTGTACCTGTCTGGGCTGTGTATGCTCCAGAGATACCGCCTGGGTCCAGCTCCCAGCGTTCTGATGTTATCGTCAGATCGGATTTTCCTCTCCACACCAGGCTGAGCCCACTATCTCTCTCTCTCTAACTTGTTGCTGCGGCAAGTCTCTAGAGAATAATATGTGCTGCAACAATTTCTCTATTGTTTCCTTGCCTTCAACTATTGTGCCCCTTTAATTAGAGTTACTTGTGGAGTAGATCAGAGTTGTTCTTGCTACCAAAAAAAGAGAAAAAAGTTGCAATCCGATATTTTGCCATTACTGATGCTATTACTTGTTACTGTTTTCAGGTTCATGAATTGTGCGATAACTTCTGCCATCGGTACATTAGTTGTTTGAAAGGAAAAATGCCAATAGACCTCGTTATTGATGAAAGGGATGGCAGTTCCAAATCAGACCACGAAGAACTCTCAGGATCTTCCACAAATTTAGCCGATCATGTAAGTCCTTCTGATTTCTTTATGGCACTTTTAAAAATACTTTGACCTGCTTAGGAGGACCTGTCCCCGATTTCATTGTTTTGCTGCTGTTGTTTGTTAGTATTGTTATTATTACTACTTTAGCCTCTTGCAAGCTCGGATCCCATCTGTACACTGTCTTCCCTCTCGCTTCGTAAAGTTGTAGAAATGCGAAAGGTTCCTTCCGTTTCCATCTGTAGAGCAGCGAGTTTGCAATGGTTTATAAAGTTTTCTGGTCTGGGCGGCTTGGGGAGGCAGCAAACTGTCGGTTTGATGTGGGGGATCGGTGCTTTCTCTTCTTCTTTGCCAACTCTGTAATCAATGCAGCAACGCAAGGAAACAGAGACAGGAAAGTTAGGGAGAAAGTTTGCTGATTTGCTCCCCCCTCCCCTCTCACGGGGATGACAAGTGATGAGAATTATTGGCAATAATACATTGCATTAAAAAAAAGGGTTAGCACATTAGAGTTTCCAATGCTTGTGCTTTACAGCAACTTATTGTCAGAATATGGACTTATTGCCAAACGCCTGAAACATCTCCATAATAAAAGACAGTAACCTTGATGAAGCAATTATTAACAATGTATTACAGAAAGCTGGAGAGAATGATGATTGAGTAACCGTAGGTTAGCGGTTGATTTTAACACTTTGAGAGTTGGGGAATTAGTGTTATGTGCGTAGGACTGCACGTTGGTGTTCGTGGTAAGGAGAGTGCCTTTGTTTTTCCGGGTTTTGGAGCGGCTCTTGTGATCCTTCAGGAGATGTAGACGCGGAGAGACTTCGGGATGTGAAGGGAAAGATTGCAGCTGGTACCACAGAAAAGGGAAGGAATAGCTCTGGTTAAAAAGAGTGGGTGTGAACTCTAGTTTATTTATAGGAACGCATCCCTGGGGGGAAAAGGGGTTTACACAGTTTTAGATTCTATTGAACTCATAATCTAAATGATACAGTCTAATATTTTAGCGGTTGAAATATTAATTTAACACCCGGTGTGAAGTTAACCATGCTTTCTGCACAGGCGCCTGCCTTTATTTCCCAGTGTGTTAAGAAGAGTAGCTGTAAGCCCAGGGAGAATGAGCTTTCTAGGAGCTTTTGTTTCCTTTGAAAACATGTTGTTTGTGTGTGTATTTGATAATTACATTAGACCTGGACTGAAGCTGAACTGGGAGATAAAATAATAATAAATTCTTCTAAATGCCCCCCTTCTGGCACGGCTTAGTTCCAGAGCCCAGGAAATATTTTTGGGCCCAAGCCTTCGCTTTCATTTTCTCATTTATATTCGGTAAACATCGCAGGATAAGTTTTTTTGCTATGTTTTACATTTTAAAGCTGTTATTTTGAGAGGAAAAACAAAAGTATGCAGAGGTTCCTGAAAGTTTCTCTGCTTATCAACTATGTCACATGTAGATAATAAACTCTATGAGGCGTGACGCTATTTCAAAAAATATTTGGTTTATGGTATTTTACAACCCCAAATTCATGTGCATAAGTATTCTGGGAGAGTACTAGAAAATAAATTGAAATGAGTGGCAACCTGAAAGATACGGGGTCATTGTGTATAATTCAGAGCAACAGGGAGGGGGGAAAAAAAGTGCATGTTTCTCCAGTACAGTTTCTTTGCAAAAGTGTGTTTCAAGTGGAAGTGTAGAAATGGAGCATGCTTATGTTTATATTGAAGAGATTAGATAAACTAGCCTGTTTAGGGTTCTGGCAGATGGCGAATGCTCAAGCCAATTTGCAGTGCTCCATTATAATATTTAAATTCACACACAATGATAGGACAGAGGTGTAGGGGGTTAGCATTTTGGTAATTTGATAACTATTATCTTCCCTAAGAAGAATCTCCTCTTGCTTTTGTGGCCCAAAAAACAAACTCAAATAAATATGACAACCCATTTATCTTGCACCCGTTAGGGTTTACCACTTCATTGGGTATTATAATTTAAAGCCTTTTATTTCCTGGAGATTTGAGCTATAACATTTTTACTTTAGCCCCCTGCTATTTGTTTTGAAAGGAAGCAATAATTTGTGCAACCAGAACACCAACTGGGAAATGAAGAGTTGTATCACATAGTTACATTTTATTCATGCGTTTTGGGAAATGTGTCTCCTTATTGGATTTTTTTTTTTATATTAGCTTGTTTTCCCAACAAAACTTTAACACTC